CACATATGAGTACGCTTAAGAGTTGACTAGTATTAAAAAATTTTCAGATATCTTTTTTAATCTCTGAGAAATATGTTAAATTTTAGCTATTATAAAAGAGAGGTTGTAAGTTTAGAAAAAAACTCAAAAAGGATATTAGAACGAGGAATTATATATTGGTGTTTTTCTTCGCAAGCAAAAAGATTTATGGGAATCAATGAGATCACAACAATATAGCAAAATGTGGTTGACAGAAAACCAAATTGGTAAAATATCTGAAAATACTAAAAAATGGCGGACCGAACATTTGCAGGATTAACGTTGACTTTGACGTGGTTAAAAGAGTTAAGCGAAAAAGAAAAACATTTACAAAGATTCGAATTCCAGCAAAATACGTAGAGTTAGAATATAAAATTTGTTTCAAGATATTTTCGGAAGATTTATTCCATTATATATATGTACAATTTAAGGCGATACAATGTATAGATATTAGATTTTTATCCACGCTAAACGTGAGATTAAATACTTAAATATGTTTCTAATCGATTTTAATATTTAGACGTGTATCATAATATTTATAAACATACAAAATGATATGTATTGAGAATAAATGTAATAAAATTAAGTTTTGACCAAACATATTTTAATGTCATATGTTTTGATCAATTTTACATAAAAAATATTAAAACTAATACAAATATTATTTATTTCAATTTATATGAAGTGTAAAGTCGATTTTTATTATTTGTGTAAATTATAGAGTATGAGATAAATTAAATAAATTTTAGATTTATATAAATTTGTTGGTCGTAAGAACCAAAAATATATGTTTTTTAATAATAATGTAAAAATATTTGTAAGTGTAGTTATCATCTACAAATAAATAATATTGCTACAAAATATAATAATAAAAAGCTTCTTAATATATCAAATTTAAAAAAAAAAAGATGATATAGTAAATCTAAATATTACATTTAGTTAAACTTAATTCTGTAAAACATGTATTAATGGGTTTATGTAATAAAATTAATAAAAACATATAAAAATTTCCACCATGGCATATAGTTTTAATTAAAAAAATTTTATTGGTTAATTTAAATGACATGTTTCTTAAAACTCTCATTGAATAATACATATGATTTTTTCACCAAATGTCTAATCAATTAATATATAGAGGATTAGAGGCATTTTAAAAAAAAATTCAAAATGATGGCATTTCTAAAAAATTCTTTACATGTAGTCTAAGTATCATGCATACTAAATTTTGTAAGATAAAATATATTTATCAATAAATTTATCTACACTGGATATATATCTTTGTTATTTTTAATTTCTCCCTATATAAAAAAAATCATGAAGTTTTATTTTTAAATATTCTAATCCCGTATTTAACGCATGTCAAAAAAATCTAGTTGTCATTGAAAAGAAAATAAGTTATTCTCATATATACTTTATATTATTTAAATAAAATCTACCATATTAATTACCACATATTCTTTGCTTCCATATTCGTTTAATAATTAGATATTGTATATGTGATATAAATTTAGTGGTAATTAGGCTAAAATATAGTTGGGCTATTCTAATTATTTACATAACAGTTCATGTCATTAAAAAGTTTTCAAAAATTTCATTAAAAGCTCCTTAAAATCTTTTTTGGATGACACCTAAGATTTTTATCTAGTGGTATAGAGGTTAATCAAGAATATGTATATAATAGAAGTGATAACAAATATATTGAGAAAAGAAAGAAGTTGTTTAGATATGTGTAATTTTAATTAGTCGTGCCTACTCTTTTTTATCCATTTTGTTTAAGTGTTGTGACCCCTAAAATATGGATATTAGGTGCGAATTCTTATAGCTTTACTTGTATAGAGGTTAATCAAGAATGTAATTAGTAACCCCAAATAGACATATAAATACATAAATTGCAATATAAAATTACATGCATCCATTCAAAAATGTATATATAGAGACAAAACAATTCCTCTCGGGCACAAACCCCAAGAGAACCGCCAACGGAAGCCAACCTCCTCGACATGGCCCTCCGCCTCTGCTTCTCCGCCTGTGCTGCTTGTGACGGTTTCCTCTGAACAGCGACGGGAGTACCCTTCGCCGACGGCTCAGCTTTCTAGGCGAGAAACTTTGTCTCGAATCCTTCACTCACATTGTGAGAAGAACCTCTGATAATTTTGTCTGTGTGACTGCCTTCTCATGACGCTGTGGAAGATGTTTCCCCGTGTGACCGCCGCCTCTCCTTTGGCACCCGTAACTCCAGCGACAAAACCCTCCATCGAGCCAAATTTGGCAACAATAAAGAGCTCGCCTCCTGAACCCCCGGATCCTCCAGATCCACCCGATCCACCATACGCGAGAGAACCCCCATTTCACTCTCGGGCTTCGATCTCCACCGTAAAGCTTAGATCTACTAAATCTCTTCAACCAGAACAAAACCCTAGCACAATAGATCTGTGGATCTCCGCACATGAGTTGACGAGAACCATTGACAGACACCTCTCCCTACCGGCGAGTCTTACTTGCAACGGATTGACGAGAGGGATATCATCGCACCTTTGTACCATCGGACGTCACCAATTCTTCTTAGGTACACCGGACCATGTCTCCGATTTTTCCAGCCCCAAAATCTTCACCTAAACTCCTCATCAAACTTATCTGAAGTGGGACAAACCCATATCCTATTCAAATTGGGGCTTGAGAACCTATTCAACATCATCGACTCTCTTCTCAGGTCACTTTTCTCCAAACTTTATGCAGACTTTACAGATTCTAAAGTTGGAACTCCTATGTGTTCTTTCGCAGTGAATCAATCTTCTCTAGAAAGCTCATCCTTTGTGGAGAGATCAATTTCTTCCTTGTCGGAGAAATCGTTTTTATCAACCACCTTCGTTACACAAAGACTCCCTATCGCCGGCTCTCTCCTCACCGAAGCTATCCCATGGCCGAAAACCCAATTTGCTTCACGATGTTGCAACTTGGGTCACATGGGACTAACCCATTGTGTGGGCCTCATGGGATTACTTTGGCTAGTGAAGAAATATGAACAAAAACCTCAACATACTTCATCAAACCATGTTTCTAGCTCCACTGGTAGTATGGCTTGGGCAAAACTATTTTTCTCCACCGGAGAACCCGCCACAGACCCATCCACATTTCTGCCAAAATGTTGTTGATACCCTTTTCCTCCTTCACGGAGAGATCCACTTTCTCCTTTACGGAGAGATACCAGACACAAACATCCTCCTTTAAGGAGTATTTCTTACAAAGCTCTGTCTCGATGGCCATGGTGTTAACCTTGCGAGCAACAATTGACCACCTCGTGGTCTTGGGAATCAAGAAGGGTGTCAGCTCAGTCTCGACAAAGATTTCAAAACCGAACTTATTCTCGGATTTGTGGAGTCGTGTCTCCCCACCCATCTCAAAGGTTGCTACATTCATTTGTAATTCCTTTGTTTCTATCCTAGGCTTATCTAGTTTATGCTTTAACAATGTTGCTACTCTTATCTTTGAATCTTCAGCAGTAATGGTTTGTAACAATCTCTCCTTTATGGAGTCGATGCTCGTTTGATTTATAAGATCCACCGTTTGACCAAAAAAAAAAAGAGACAAAACAATTCAAATCTTCAAAAACATATTAATCCAAAAACAACATGATAATTTATATTTATTCAACTAACAAAAAAAAAATTATTCATATTTTACAGAAAACGCATAATAATTTGACATGTTCTTATTAAATATTGAAATGAAATCAACATTAGTGTACCGTGGTATATGTGGCTGTGTGAGGAAATAGTGTGACGAGAGTTCCTCATAAACAGAGTCATTTATCTTAATGGTTATATGATTTAAGAAAAAATATTACTTTTTCCCTTTTTTTTTGTTTTTCCTTTTTCTGTTAGGGAAATAAAAGAGAAGAGAAAACAGTATCGAAAAGAGCACGCCAAAAAGAAACAGTGTCGAGATTGGCATCGAGATATCATCGGACAAATGTCAGTGCTTAGTCACGTGTCTTGCACTTATTCGTTTTACCTATTTCGGTTACTGTGTTCCTTACTGAATTACAGCAATAACTCATAATAATTTAATACTGCCTTTACACATTTTGGATATTCGCTGTTTCTTTGTCATTTAAAGTTTTATTGATAAAAATCAAGGACAGATACAATTTAA